AAAATGAGGATAACTGGGGCCAGCACTTTGGTGTAGAGGTAAAGCTGCTGCCTGCAGTATCGGCATCCCATATGGGCGCCGGTTCGAGTCCCAGCTGCTCCACTTCCCATCCAGCTCTATGCTATGGCCTGGGAAAGCAGTGGAGGGTGGCCCAGGTCCTCAGGCCCCTGCACCCGCATGGGAGACCCGGAAGAAGCTCCTGGCTCGTGGCTTAGGATCAGCGCAGCCTGGCCACTGTGGCCAATTGGGGAGTGAACCACAGGATGGAAGACCTCTCTCTCTCTCTCTGCCTCCCCATCTCTCTCTGTATAACTCGGACTTTCAAATAAATAAATAAATAAATCTTTATTAAAAAAAAAAGATGAGGATAATTATTTTACTAGGTTTTTTTAATAATCATGGGAGATGATAGCATAGTATCCTGCATACACTAAATATTTAGTAAATGCTGGCTAAAATACTTTTTAGAATTAAATTTTGAAAGCTAGCCTGGAAACCTACCACTTTTATCCTATTTCTTTTGCAACCCTAATACAGAATTTTTTTAAGTAAAATTGCTTTTATTTTCATAAATAAAAAGATAACTCATTATACAAATAACACCTTTAGCAGAAGTAATATGTTAACTGTCACTGCTTTGTACCAAATGCAGTTAACACAAATAGTTACATCTCTCTATAATTTTTACACAACTCTACATTTGGTAATTTCCCCAAATTCCCAATGTCATGTCAGAAAGCATTAAATATGATGGGATAGGGTATTTTAGTCACAGAGTAACACTTTTGCTGAGCAAATAGAATGTTTAATTACTGATTTAAAGTAATACCAGTATTTACTGAGTTCTACAGAAGCACTGGGCATAATATATGTTGCCATTTCATGTATGGTAACAATGTGAAAATTTAGTAACTAGGTTAATAGGCTCTATTACCTAAGATAAACAGGTCCTACAGGCAGAAAGCAAAGACCTGTGCAGTGCTGTGTAGGATTTTGTCAGTAAATGGCTTAATAGCAAAGACGATGATGGGCTTTGTAATGAGGATCACACAAGATATGGAGAAGTTTAATAAATTATTTTTTCCCATAGACAAAAAAATTAAAACTAAATGCCTGTTTGTTATTATTCCACTTACTCTGGAAACTGCAGTTTCAAATATTAAATATCAGACTGTAAGCAGAAATTAGCAATTCTGTATATCTAAAAAAAACAAAACACCACACTGATTCTGAGTAGCATTTCCTAAGGAGTGTCTCTAAGCAGCATAAACTAAAATACAGGATTTAAGTAATCATTCATCTGATCACAATATTGACTTGGGCATATTCTTTCTAGTCATTCTTCATAATGAAATGTGTATTACTACATTAGCACTTTATGCAGATTTTATTCATTCCTCACAAGGCTGTTCTGTGGAATTAATGGTTTATCTGTGTAACTGCTCAGCACAGTGCCTGGCAAACAGCAAGTTCTCCATACACACTACTATTATTTCTATTAAGTGGACCCATCTGTCCATTACAGTAGGAAAATTGGCTAACATGCCAGGAGAATAATCAAAAGATAAACTTAAAGATATGACTTTTGTTACAGTATTATGCCTCTACCATTTCCCAAGTCTGTGCACATACTAACCTATCTGTTCCCAAGATTACAATCTATTATTCAGATTATACCGTATTTAAGTTTGTTCTCTAAGTTTTTACTATGGCCTTTGGCTGAAAGCAATACAATCCCGACAGGATATATGTATTAGAAAACCATTAAGAAAAAAAAAGTACACTGAATCAGGCAACAAAGGCATTTTACTGTAACTTCTTTACCACAGAAGTAAAGAGCTACCAGTATAATTCAGGAAAACCTACCTCACGTAATTAAAGTTTCTTCTGTATATCACACAAAATTTTACTTCAAAGAACATTTTCTATTCATACTATCTTCTCTCCCATAAGAAACATTAACGGCTATTAACAAAGTTCATTCTCTAAATAAAAAACCCATTAGAAAACATACTTGTAAAAAATCAATTTAGGGTTATTGAAACAGAATGAAACACAGGCTACAAGAATAGAGATACATTCTTAAAAGACAACAAACCTATAAACACTGATTTTCAAGTAAACTATAGATTCTAATCTACTTAAGTTATTTGGTATGAAAGTGTTCTGATCTTTAAGTCACTGTTTTTCTACTAGAAAAGATAAATGACTCAGACCATATCAGGTCTATATTAAAACTAATACAATGGTGAAGGGAAAAAAAACCCTGTCTTTGTTAAAAACTAATTCCTGTCATTCCTCAGGTACCAAATAAGGAAGAACATAAACTTTTTTTGTGAAAATATACTTGAATGTGAAAGCTACATGATTTATGCCTATAATGTATTAATCTGAAATTATTATTATCCAGGGTTCAAAAAAGGACCTAGCCCCCAAATACACCCTTTAGAGGCACAATAATATCTTTCAAGTGTTGTCCTGATTAAAAAGCAGTCTGGAAACATAGCATGAAGGCATCTCCACTGCCAAATACAGAATTTTAAACAAACTTGAAATATACCTTATTTGTAAGTCACAGTCCTTCTTTGTCCCCTCCTCCCAAAATCTCTTCCTTCAACAGGTTGATTTCCTCAAACCAGCTAATACCTAATGTCTCATGCTCCCTCTCACCTTGAGGATTTTATTCTACTTGTCTTTTGCTGAGAACTTCATCTCTTTTTTTTTTTTCTCCCATGGCTGAACTATAGATACCAAAATGGCAATAAGAAGACATAGGGCGAGTGCTGTGGTACATTAGGTTAAGCCACCACTTGCAATGCAGGCATCCCATACTGGAAAGCCAGTTTGAGTCCCAACTGTCCCACTTCCAATCCAGCTTCTTGTTAATGTGCCCAGGGAAGGCAGTGAAAGATAGCCCAAGTGATTAAGTCCCTGACACCCATATGGGAGACCAGGGTGGAGTTCCTGGTTCCAGGCTCCTGGCTTGGATCTGGCTCAGATGTAGCTATTGTGGCCATTTGGAGGGCCAAACAGCAGAGAGAAGATCTCTGTCTCTCCCTCTCTTTTAGAATAAATAAATAAATCTTAACCAAAAAAGAAAAATCTCTATTTTTATTTCCTGTTTTGCTTTAATATTCTATAATGAAATTACACTATTTTAATATTTATAGCTATTATCTACCCCCAGTGTTAAAGCCTGCCACTGTGAAGAATTATTAGTTTTTCTTATCTTCTAGTTTTGTAGCCTCATTGCCGCATTCTTTTTTTTTTTTTTTTTTAAGATTTTATTTATTTATCTGAGAAGTAGAGCCAAAGACAGTGAGAGGGAGAGACAGAGAGAAAGGTCTTGCTTCCGCTGGTTCACTCCCCAAACGGCTGCAACGGCCGGAGCTGCACTGATTCAAAGCCAGGAGCCAGGTGTTTCTTTCTGGTCTCCCATGTGGGTGCAGGGCTCAAGCACTTGGGCCATCCTACACTGCTATCCCAGGCCACAGCAGGAGCTGGATTGGAAGAAAGGCAACCAGGACTAGAACCTGTGCCCATATGGGATGCCAGTGCCGCAGGCAGAGAATTAACCCACTGCACCACGGCGCCGGCCCCATCATTGCCACATTCTTCAGAGAGTCTCTGATGATGCCAGTTTTCACTGAAAATTCAGCAGCTTGCTTTCATATTTAGACTCCAAACCACACACTCAATACTGAATTCTTAATTTCCCTGGATTCTCTGCTATTGTTGCATGGGTATTAGTCATAACTGCAACCAGGCTGCAAGCTGTGAGGACTCTGACTTATGGGTCCCCCAACAGTAAAGACAGTGCTGGGCACAAAAAAATAAAGCAATAAATTCTTCCAAATTAACCTCAAAAGACAACAAATTCTAAAAAAAGATTACACTTTTGAGATATCCACAAGTCAACAAGGACAGATTTTGTATTCCACTGTCATCAATCTTCTTTAAAATTCATATGTGGGATATAAAATTCATATGTGGGATATTAACTGGCTAACTTCTGGATATCCTGGTTATATGATGGATCTTCCAAAAGAACATGGAAAATGAATATTACAAAATAACTATGCATGGATTTCAAAATTTTCTGCATCAAAACAAATTTATTTTTAAATTACATTTTCCATGAACTTTTAGAGGTATACTTGTACACACAGTTTCTCTCTCTCTCTCTCTTTCTCTCTCTCTCTCTCTCTCTCTCATAGTTCTAAAATAAGTACTGTGCTATGAAGGAAGCTCTTTCTGACCCTTAGTTTTAAAAAAAATCCCCTTTCAAGTTAAAAAAAATTGAAAGGCAGAGTTACACAGAAAAAGAAGAAAAGGCAGAGAGAGAGAGAGAAAGGTCTTCCATCTACTGGTTCACTCCCCAGATGGCTGCAACGGCCAGAACTGCGTCAATCTGAAGCCAGGAGCTAGGAGCTTCCTCAGGGTCTCCCAAGCGGGTACAGGGGCCCAAGGACTTGGGCCATCTTCTACTGCTTTCCCAGCCCATAGCAGAGAGCTGGATCAGAAGTGGAGTAGCTGGGACTCGAACTGGTGCCCATATGGGATGCTGGCCCTGCAGCTGGTGGCTTTACCTACTATGCCACAGCGCCAGCCCCTCAAGTTTAAAATTTATTTTAAATGAAGAATGAATGATCATGAAAGAACATTTTTTTCATTATTTGTCAGAGTAATACATTTCATTATAGGTCAATAAGAAATCAATTTGTGTTCTATTGTCACCTACCTTCTTTAAATTCCATATGTGAGTATTAATTAAACAAATATAAATTTGACTTAAACCATGAAAATGACTTTTTTATATAGAGTCTCCACATATGTTAAGGAATATTAAACTTTTTTGTAATTTTGAAATTATATCTAAAAACCTGGGCAAAGGAAAGAAACTCTTTCAAAATCTGGAATGCTACATTATTGATAATGTGAAATGGTTTTTAGTAAAGCCATTTTTAAAGAACATGGGCAAAAATGACTTAATGAGTTACCTGTAGTCATTCCGATCATCAGCTTTTATTCCAGGCCAATCTCTCTTCAGGTACTGACTAGCCAGCTTCTGCATACCCTGTTAGAACAAACATATACATGTTTTCTAAAATAAGTACTGTGTCATAAAGGGAGCTCTGTTCCTTAAAATATATAGAAAGTCCCATTTTCCCAAGTGCAAATTTAATGCATAAGAACAGTGATAAATAGTAGAACTCTAGCACCTACTTTCAGGTACAATCCTCTCTTGTCTCTATCTTTAGGAAGCAGGTCAGGATGAGGTTCAGAGAACCTTATATCAAAATTGGTACGCACTTCACGTCACTGAACTACTTGACTTGCCATAAACACAAACTACCTCCAACACGTTAACAGGAGCACAACTGTCTGTCTTGCACAGAGCTCTGACTACGCAGTCTGACAGCTCAGTCTTCCACTACTCCCTAGCTACGGCATGCACTGCATTCTGATTCCCAGCAGCCAAACTTCCATACACAAAGAGGGAAAAAATATTCAATCTGGAGCAGATAAAATATACACTGATGTGTAAAATTCATAAATAAAATTTGATACTGCTCCATTCTAGTAATTTTCAAAAAAAGATTATTTATTCGAAATGCACAGTCAGAAAGGAGAGCGAGAGAGAATGAATCTTCCACCTGCTGGTTCACTCCCCAAATGCCCACAACAGCCAGAGCTGGGCCAATCCCGAAGCCAGGAACCTGCAGCGTCTTCCTCATTTCCCAGGCAGATACAGGAGCCCAAGGACTTGGTCCACTTTCCGCTACTTTTCCCAGGTACCTTATCAGGGAGATGGATCAGAAGTGAAGCAGGGTCTGGCACTGTGGTGTAGCGGGTAAAGCCACCACCTGCAGCGCTGGCATACCATATGGGCGCCAGTTCAAGACTCGACTTCTCCACTTTCAATCCAGCTCTCTGCTATGGCCTGGGAGAGCAGTAAAAGTTGGCCCAAGTGCTTGGGCCCCTGCACTCCTGTTGGAGACCCAGAAGAAGTTCCTGGCTTCTGGCTTCAGACTGCCCAGCTCCAGCCATTGTGGCCATTTGGGGAGTGAACCAGTGGACGGAAGATCTCTTTCTGCCTCTGCTTCTCTGTAACTCTGCCTTTCAAATAAGTAAATAAATCTTTTTTAAAAAAATTAATAAATAAAATGATTTACAGAGGAAAGTGGAGAAGATGTAAATGTATCTTGCCTTTAAAAAAAAAAGTGGAGCAACAGCTGGGACTCAAATGGGCACCCCTATGGGATGAAGGCATCACAGAGGAGGCTTTATTCATCATGCCAAAATGCCAATCCCTCTAGCAATTTTTTTCTGTTATTCTTAAGAACTTATTCATTTATTTGAAGTAGAACCACAGAGAAAGGGAAAGACTAAGAGAAAAGTTCTTCATTCTCTGGTTCACTCCCCAAAGGGCCACAATAGCCAGAGCTGGGCTGATCCAAAGTCAGCAGCCTGGAGCTTTAGCCAGGTCTCTGATGCGGGTACAGGGGCACAAACACTTAAGCCATCTTTCATTGCTTTCCCAGGTCACAGCAGAGAGTTGGATCAGAAGTGGAACAGACAGGACTTGAACCAGTGTCCATATGTGATGCCAGTACTGCAGGTGGCAGCTTTACCTCCTACATCACAACATCAGCCCTGGTCTTCTCTTTTAGAATAACACCATGGCAAAAGTCACTTCAGATGAAAACATTTCTAATTATATAACTTTTATATAAGAATATAGATTATCTCAGTGTAATGAATACAGAAGTCATTAGTATCGGAATATTCATTTCTAAACCCAAAACTTTCTTTTTTTTTTTTTTTTTAACTTGACAGGTAGAGAGAGACAGAGAGAAAGGTCTTCCTTCCATTGGTTCATTCCCCAAATGGCCACTATGGCTGGCACTGCACCGACCCAAAGCCAGGAGCCAGGTGCCTCCTCCTGGTCTCCCATGTGGGTGCAGGAGACCAAGCACTCGGGCCATCCTCCACTGCCCTCCCAGGCCACAGCAGAGAGCTGGACTGAAAGAGGAGCAACCGGGACTAGAACCCTGTACCCATATGGGATGCTGGCACCTCACGCGGAGGATTAACCAAGTGAGCCACGGTGCCCACAACTTTAAGAACAGTTTAGTTCACAATGCTGAACTAAAGAGCGATCACGTTAATAGATTCTCTGCTTTCAGCAAAGGTTGCTCAATTAAAATCGATGTTTCACTCTACACTTCGTACCTTTCTGCTAAGTTCTGCTGTCAAACAATTTGTCTTAATTTAATCCATTGTTGCATAACTCTACCATTATTTTAACAACTCAAAAGGTGACAGTAACTGTGGTGAAGTACTGTTTGTTTTTTTTTTTTTAAAGATTTATTTATTTTATTTGAAAGGCAGAATTACAGAGAGGCAGAGGCACACAGAGAGAAAGATCTTCTATCCACTGGTTCACTCCCCAATTGGCCGCAATGCCTAGAGCTGGGTCAATCTGAAGCCAGGAGCCAGGAGTTTCTTCTGGGTCTCCCACAGGGGTGCAAGGGCCAAAGGACTTGGGCCATCTTCTACTGCTTTCCCAGGCCATAGCAGCAAGCTGGATGGGAAGAGGAGCAGCCGGGACTCAAACCAGCACCCATATGTGATGCTGGCACTGCAGGCAGTGGCTTTACATGATAAGCCACAGTGCCAGCCTCATGGTAAAGCACTGTTGAATCTCAAATTCCTATTGAACTTGGCGATTTGCTTGGCTTCACTGTTTCCAGGCACCGAGCATTCTGGGGACTCATACACAACTACATTCCAAAAACATTTCCACTGAAAATACCATACTTTAGGGAGCCCAATCCCTAAGTCTTCCCTGAATATGCACAATATTTCTTCACTTCTGCTTCCTGTCATACTGCTCCCATTGCATGAACTATGTTAGCATCACTTCCATTCCTATTTGCCGAATTCTTATCTCCCTCACTTTTTAACTGGATTTTAAATATCCTAACAAAAAACATTCAGTAGTATATAGAGGGAACTGTTACAATTTACACTGCCTAGGTATTTCACTTCATTTTATTTCATTAGGGTATAACAGTTTATTATTCCTTCTAAATGTATTACCTAAAATTCTATAAAGAACCACCCTTCCTGGACTATTTTGTTATCCTGAAGTAGAGCTCTTAGAGTAAATATAGGATAAATATTTGTCTAGTTCTGGCCCAAAGATGCACATTGAATTTTTACAGTAACATTATGAACTTTTTATTTTAAATAATGTTTTATAATTAATTGCAGACACTATTCTCTTTTGGTAGCAAACATTTATTTAAATCTTTCATAATTCAAGCATTATTAAAAGCCAGTATAATTGAAAATTGGATTCTCCCTCTAAAGCCATAAGTATCCAAAGCTTGAAATAGTTAACTTAAAAACAAGTAAAGGGCCGGCGCTGTGGAGCAATGGGTTAAAGCCCCAGCCTGCAGTGCCAGCATCCCGTATGGGTGCCGGTTTGTGTCTAAGCTACTCCTCTTCCGATCTGGCTCTCCTATGGCCTGGGAAAGCAGCAGAAGATGGCCCAAGTCCTTGGGCCCCTGCACCCACGTGGGAGACCTGGAAGAAACTCCTGGCTCCTGGCTTCAGATCCAGCCATTGCAGTCATCTGGGGAGTGAACCAGTGGATGGAAGACACCTCTCCCCCCCTCTCTCTGTAACACTGCCTTTCAAATAAATAAATAAATAAATTTAAAAAATAAAAAATAAAAAAACAGGAGCCAGCACTGTGGCTCAGCGGGTTAAAGCCCCAGCCTGAAGTGCCGGGATCCCATATGGGTGCTGGTTCTAGTACCGGTTGCTCCTCTTCCCATCCAGCTCTCTACTATGGCTTGGGAAAGCAGTAGAAAATGGCCCAAGTCCTTGGGCCCCTATACCTACATGGGAGACCCGGAAGAAGCTCCTGGTTCCTGGCTTCAGATTGGCGCAGCTCTGGCCGTTGCAGCCATCTGGGGAGTGAACCAGTAGATGGAAGATTTGGAAGAAGCTCTTGGCTCCTGACTTTAGATCAGCTCAGCTCCAGCCATTGCAGCCATTTGGGGAGTCAATTTGCGGATAGGAAACCTCTCTCTCTCTCTCTCTCTCTCTCTCTCTCTGTCTCTACCTTGCTCTGTAACTCTTTCAAATTAAAATACATACATACATATATATATATATACACACACACACACACATACACACACATATATATAAAGGGTTTGCTTAAAAAGCAATATATATAAAGGATTTGCTTATATATATATATATATATATATATATATATGAAGGGTTTGCTTAAAAAATAAAGCAAACATCCCTGCACTAGATCCTATAGAAATACTTTCTAAAAATCTAATTGACCTTAATCTTTACAAAAATTATTTTAGCTCAAAAACTACAAAATCAAAGTTATGTTAATTCTACAAAGGAGAGGGTCTCTGACTTCATGCCACCATTTTAGAACCTCAATTTTCATCAAATTTGTCCATAAATCAAATGTCTGTGTGTCCTTGTTTAGAGGAGGTTCCTCTCGTTGAAGAGGACAGATACAAACACGGACAAGCAACTGCCTAAGCAACAGGAAAGAGTTCTGTACCAGTGTGCTTGGGAGAGAGCTCTGAGATAATCTCCAGAACTCCACGTAGACCCTGACTGCGAATGAGATCTAGAACAGGACTTTGAAGAAGCTCTTTTTGGTGGCGAGGTAGAATAGGTAGTGGTGGACTGAACTGAGACCGGCCCTGGATTTGGATTTTGACTTTGCGTCCCCTTTTCCATTTTCTTTGGGGGACAGAGCTAAAGACTGAGGTCTGCTTTGGGCCTGCTCAGATGCATCTTAGATCCACTCCGAGAATGTGAACGGAAGCCCCGATCAGACTTGGGTTTAGGTTTGCTCTCTGATCTGCATTTCCTGCCTTGTGATGGATCTTTGCTCTGAAACCTGGATTGGGAGTGGCTTTTTAACATATTTCCAGGTAGATCTACTGCGGATGCTCCTGCAACTCCTACCTGCTGGTCTTCTACACCATGACCTGGATCTGCTTCCCTGGTAAGATCGCCCAT